GAGAGAGAGAGAGAGAGACATCAATGTGAGAAAGACATATCAATCAGTTACCTCCCAAATGTGCTCAGACCCGGGATCAAAACTGAAACCTAGGTATGTTCCCTGACTGGGAGTCTAACCAGAGACCTTCCTGTGCCTGGGACAACCCTCCAACCAACTGAGCCACAAAGGCCAGGGCATTAAATAGCAGTCCTGAGAAACATGTGAATTTAGAAGTACAGTGATAAAAAGTTGAATCCAGCTCCATCTCCAGTGAACTGTGTGGCCTTGGATCACTCTCTCTGTCTGGGCTTTAATTTACACTTCTGTAAAAGTGTAGAGAGCATAGAAACCAAGATGGTGGCATAGGTAAACACCGGAGTTTGCTGCCTCGAACAACCACTTCAAAAATACAACTAAAAGACGGAACAGACATCATCTAGAACCACAGGAAGGCTGGCTGAGTGGAAATTCTACAACTAGAAGGAAAGAGAAAAGCATACCGAGACTCAGAGGAGGCGCAGTGTGGAAATAAAATACTAAGGTACAGAGGCGCACATGGAGTGGGCTGGCGGCTGAGGGCGCGGTTGTCGTTTTCAATCGGGAGGGAGTCTCAGGCTCCGAGCTCCAGTTCCGGGCAAGTCTCTGGGGACCCAGACTCATACGGGAGAAGTGGGACTGTCTGGCATCGGTCGGAACTCGAGGGCAGCTTTCTCTCGGAGGGGCTTGCAGCGATTACCGAGACACTCAATAAAAATTTTTTTAAAAAGATAAAATAACAAACTCATGAAATCAGCCTTTGGTGGCTTTATTACACAGGCCCTAGAGCTTTCTGATAAGTTAATTAAGAAAAAAAATATAAAGGCACTTAAGATTTTATTATTTTTGTGAAGGGAAAGAAACAATAGAGTGGCAAATGTGGGACACCAGACTCACACTTATTTACATATGGACACCAAGCTACAACTGAGAAAGGAGTTCTAGAACTTTACAATAGATCACTGTAGAACATAATTTGGGATTAATCTGTTCTGTTCAAATTTCCTTCAGTTTTAAAACTAGTTAAAATGCTCTGTGTTCAGCTGAATCTGTTTTTACTCATTTGTTTTCTAATAAAAGAGATACATAGACGGGCAAGTTTAAAAATATACTGACTATGTTATGAGTGAATGACTACAATATGGCACCAGCACTACCAGAATGCTTTTGGAAGTACAACAAGATCCCAAACCCTAAAATTCTCATTTTCCTTTTAGAACAAATTGTGATATATCTTAAACAAGGTTCTGATATGTTACATAATTAAAAACATTCCAATCTTGATGGGTATTAAACATTTTATTTAAAATTTTAAAGTAAAAAAAAAAAGGTACACAAATACAGACTACATTATGATGACCAAGGCAGTATTCTACATGGCAAAAGCAAAACAAAATTTTAAAAGTAAATGTATAAAGCAAAATACCTGATAGCCAATTCAGGCTGCGTCCACATAAAATGATCTGACCACATGCTTATACAAAATAAATTTTTTCTTAGAACACCAAAATTCCAACCATTCTGACTGTCAAATGCCTTTTTCCCCTGGTGAGTATTTTCAGAGAACTTTATATAATATAAAAAAGATTGACATGGCACTTAAAGACTACAAAATACAGAACACAATTAGAAACATATTTGTAATGCAATTCTGTATAAAATATACACAGTAAATCTTAGATTTTAAAAAAGGATTAAAAACTAAAGACCACCCTGAATAATGGCTAAAACCTCATCACAGAAAAATGCTTATCGCTTGCAACATTGATAGAAAACTGATGGGATTTTTTTTGAGATGATATCTAACTTGAGGAAGTCATTCATTCAAAATGTATTTAAAACAGTAGGTAAATAGTACTCACTGCCTACCTCTACTCAAAATGTTTTATCATGAGTACTCTTTCTAATATTTAACCACAGGACAAAAATAAAAGAATGACTCAAAAGTTTCCTCAAAATATGGTTCCAAAGACCCAACAGAATTCTAAGGTAGGCCCAGTAATGTGTTTTTAAACAAACTTATCCCACATTCTAAATTTTTAGAAATAATGCCCTAGGGGGAAACAGCACCACTTAAAAGCAAGATCATAAACATGTATCATAAGATGTCAGAATTTTCTGTAAGTTTATGATTGAAGTGAATACTGCTTTTTTTTAAAAACAAGTTTCAGGTATTAAGAGAAACATGTATACCTCTTAAATAAACATGTGGATATAAACATTTTTCCTTTGAGGTTTTCATTGCTTTCAGACATAATTATTTAAAGAAAAGACTACATGGCCAGGCAGGCCCTGGCCAGTGTGGCTCAGTTGGTTGGAGCATCGTCCTGTGCACCAAAAGGTGGTGGGTTCAATTCCCGGCAGGGCACATACCCAGGTTGCGCATTTGATCCCTGGTCGGGGCACGTATAGGGGAGCAACCCATAAGTGTTTCTCTCTCACATTGATGTTTGTATGAGAAAGAGAAACTCTGTAGAATAATAATCTTAAAAAATCATAAAATAAAAAGAGTACATGGTCAGAAACTTTGGGAAAATTGTATTTCTAATGAAATGTAATATCCAAAAAAAGGAGATATTAAATGCCTACAAATTTTAAGTAATTCTAAGCTGAAGACTCAATAGCTTTCCCCAAAATTAAATTTTACTAAGATTGGGGAATTATAAGTAATTTAGATGATGGTGGTTACTTTTAGGTCCCTTTTCATTTAAAAAAAAAAAAAATTAAAATAACAGAAGGATGCTATCCCTGGCATCCCTTTACATAACACATTCCTAAACACTAATATTAATAAAACATAATCTGAAGAACTCTGCCTCTGAAATGTATTGTATTCTGTATTACGTGTGGTACCTACTTAACAAAAACTCGCTTAAGTGGTTGGGACTGTGATGTGAGTGTATGTGTGGGTCCTGAACACTTATTCATGTTTATTATTTTTTATGGATTTCACTGCAGACTCCATAAACAGGGTCCAAAAGTGTGGATAATGTGTTTTGGAGTAGGAAGTAAGTATGTTTGGAAGGTAAATTATTTTCTTGTATACTAAATTATAAGGGCAAATAGTATACATTCCGTCTCCATTAGATAAATAGAATGCTTTTACAAGTTTTGTAATAAGTGCCTCCTTATTTAATCAAATCACAAAAGCAACTGTGAGATTACTCTCCAATAAGAAATAAATATTACCATTGCACTTTTTTTATATATCCTTTAAATTTCTATTTTTCCTTCCTATATACTGAGAACTTTTCCATTCGGCTACATCGTGGATCCTTTGAACTACATTTGTTCACATTCCAGCTAAAGTTCTGGCTAAAGGGACTAGCTCAGAAACTAACCCCTCTTATACAAAAGAACTCAAAAACAGCTAATGATTTGGAATCTGATTCTTAATAAAATGTGCCTAACTTTTTCCTCAAGAAGAATCTGTATTCCCCAATTTTTAGCAAGTAATACCTTTTATTATCAGTCAACTTAACAATTGCTACCTTAAAAATCAGTAATTATCCAAGGCAATGATAAAATTTACAGCTGAATTTTTAAACACAAAGAATTCATACACTAACAGGTAATATATTTTGAATTAATCTTTTTATTCCAAAATTAAATACTTAAAAGGAAGTATGACAAAAATCACAGGGAGGCTTATGATGTAATACCACCATGTGCCTTAATGCAACAGACACTCTTTTGAAAAGCAGTGGTAAGTAGTTTCTTCAAAGGAAAAAGACAACTTTGTTACTCATCAGTAGGCTGCTAGACTACCAGTAAAACTGAATTTTGACACGATTGTCTGGAAACTAGTCTCTTTTTTTTCCATAGTTAAATTTATATGTAATAATTGACTCTTACAGTCAACAAATACAAGATATTGAGCGCTTTTTTGTAGTTGGCAAATATCAAATGGTTCATCATATCCAGGCTGGTAATGAGTTTTCCATGCATTAAATGGCAACACGAGCAAAATGCACAGTTGAGAAACGAGGATCAGACGCATTCTTCCGCAGACATCAAAAGAGGATTGATGTACTCAAAGCCTTCAAACTCAGACTGATCAATCTTCCTCACAATATCACTGTTGGGACAAAAATAAATTAATTTCCATAATCAATATTTCTTCAACGTATTTAAATGGTAAAATTAAGATTAAGAAACAAAAAATAAGGCTAATTTATGTGAATTATGGAAAGAAGTTTTACAAGTTTTTAGATTAATCCCAAAATATTTTCTAGAAGAATCAAGAGTCCTGGAAAAACCAAAAAGGCTAAAAGACTCGCAAGCAACTTTAGAATCAAAAAGTAACCCAAACTGAAGACTGGGATTTAAAAAGGCACAAGTTATCACAATTCTAGTTCATCTTAACTTTTGACCTGAACAACATTCATAGTTACAGGTAAACATCCAGGTCTGAATTAGGCATTCAATTTAGTAGTCACCTCAACAGCCAGATGGAATATATGGTGAAGAGAAGGCCCAGAAGATGTTAACCAGAAGGAAAAGGCAATAGGGACAAGTACACTGAGAGACCTGGAATGAAGGGAGAACGCCACGGACAGGCAATGGGTCACGGGGGAGGGAGAGGTTGACATTCGGTTACAGTGGGCTTCTAGTTAATATATGAGGAGTGAGTAGTACTAGCGAATATTTTAATACGTCAATGTACACATCTTACTGCAAAGCACAAAGTTACACAGGATATAGTTTCTGTCCTTCAAGGAGGGAAGGTACCTTATAGAACAGAAAGCTACAAGAGGAAGCAGTACCTGCTAAGTTTCATATAGGACAAGCTAAGTCCTGTGATAAACACATTTCTAAAGAAAAGTGTGGTACTTGCTTCGGCAGCACATATACTAAAATCAGGAGGGTCCAGGGGAGATGCGCATGGCCTCTGTGTAAGGATGACATGCAAATTTGTGAAGCGTTCACATTTTTTGAGAAGTACAGATTGGCAGTTATAGAACAGTCATGGGGATGTGGAGTACAGCAGGGAAATATGGTCAATAATATTGTGGTAACTATGTATGGTGCCGGTTGTCTGGCCTTTGCTGTACACCTGAAACTGATACAAATGATACTGAATGTAAACTGTAATTTAAAAATTTTTTAAAAATCAAGAAAGCAAAACAAAACAAAATAAAAGGGCGACGTCTAGTTAGAGAAATTTTTTTAAAAAAGCATTCATTTAGCAAACACTTACTGGATGAAATTATGAAAGATTATGCTAGGTCTGGGGAAATGAAAGTAATTTTATTAGAGTTGGAGCACAGGAATAGAAGAAGGGTATTAATGTGGCAGATGATTCTGGGAGGGAAGTAATGGCTAGCTCAGAGAATCTAGTGATGTTTACACTATGGAGTTTCACCTTGATCCATCCAAGACTGGGTTGCATTTGAGAAAGCTCTGAAAGATGGGGAAGATTTCAACAGATGAAAATTAAGGAAGAACATAGAGGAAATGGCACGAGTAAAGGTTAGCAGCACACTATCAGGGAATGGTGAGTAAGAGACTAATCAGATCACAGCGTTTGTGTTAAAGCAGAGCAAGAGCTATGGCTAGAAAGTTAGGCTGGAGCAGATGGTGGGAGGCCTTAAATGCTAGCCAAGAGGATAGGTGTTATTTGCTAGGCAATGCGGGAGCTGTTAAAGGTTTCTGGAGTGGCACCTCATGAGGTGTACAGAGTGGGATGCAAAGTAAAGGAGTCCATTTAGGAAGGTGGCATAATATTCTAGGTATGATTTGAAAGAGATTTGAATTGGGTTTATGGTAATGCAAATGAAAACGAAAGATGTGATGCAAATGATGAAGTAAAGGAAAAACAGACATGGACTTGGCAGGTGAAGGTCTTATATAGGTTTTTAATGAAAAGGAGGAATCAATGATCCTAATACTCTGAATCCGAGTGCAGGAATGCACAGTGCTGCAATGAGCAAAAAAGGCAAATAAAAACAAGGAATCACTGAGAACAGAAAAAGGGACCATAAAGAGTCATTACTTTGATTTCAGACTTCATATGTCTGAGGTGCTTGTCTGACAAGCTAGGGAGGTGTTGAACAAGCGAATGGAAATGCAGCTCAGGATAGATACCAGGGCGGTGGCTAGGTTTAGAAACCATCATTCATTTATTCTTCACAGCAACCTTGTGAGGTAGGCAATACAAGAAGAAACAGGCTCAGAGAAGTTATGCAATTCACACCCAGGTTACCCAGATGGTAAGAGGTGGCGTCTGAATTCAAATTCCTATCTTTTGATTAAACCCAGTGCTCTTTCTAAAACACGATGCTGTCTGAAATAAGGACTTTGGTACATATATATCTCTTTCTTTTAATAGACAGTAAGTTTTTTTTGCAATATTGGCCTAAGTTTTGATCAGTTTTGAATGTCTAGTACTTAGCATAGTGCCCCTGCTCAATAATTGTTGGCCAAGTTAGCTGGGAGTCCTTTTTAATAGCTGGTATCCATGCTACGGGGCTGGCTGACATCTCCAAGATACAAACTGCATACAGCAAAGAGAAGGCTGGCGTGAACAGAACCATGAAGCACCCTAGTCTCAAGGAGGGGACAAGGGAAGAAAGGTGACAAGTGGTCACAGAGGTGAAGTAGAAGCAGGATGGGTGGTGCCAACCAAAGCAAGGCCATGAGTGCCAAATGCTTTACGGACATCAGGGGACATTGGAACTGATCAAAACATGCCTTAAAATTTAGAAAGTAAGAAGTCAATTCAAGCTTCAAAAGCTGAAGGAGCAGGTTAAATTGTGTTTTTAAAGTGCTGACAGTAAGAAAGTGCGATCAATGTTGACTATTATGAAGGCATTCGATAGAGATACTGCTTATTTTTCCTTTACCATGAGCATCTATTAACTATCTTTGAAAAAGCTTGCAGATGAAAAGAAAATAAGAAAAGAATGTGGTGGTTCAAAGAAGTGCTAAGATTCACGAGAAAAAAATTAGGATATCTGAGCATGTTTATAGGCAGAGGGAAAGAAGCTGAAAGAAAGAAATTAAAGAAGGTGGAGTAATGGCGGCAACTGAGTAAATAAGATCCTGGAGGAAAATAAGGGAACAGGTCTAGGAAAATAGGAGAGCACCCCTTGCAAAGACAGAGAGCTTTCCAAGAATGGGGAAGAAGAAATAGGTTGAGAAGAGTTAGAAAGCAATTCTGAGATGCAAGCACCCTAATGACAGCTGAAAAGGGAGCAAGCTCACAACAGGGAGGTCTTGATCCGTGCAGTCAAGTTAAGACAGAGTTAAACCATTAAGAGTGATGGAGGCAGGGCTGAAATGTACAGACAGTTTGGAACAGCTGCAATGAGGAATGTGATAAGAATTAACAAGACATAAATGTCTGCCGAGCTGTCAGAGCCTCCTTGAGACGAGAGAATGAATCTGTAATGACAGGTAAAGGATCAAAACATCCCAAAATTATTCCAAAGCCTATTTTAACAATATGTAACACGAACACAAAAAAAATATATGAGCCCTAACCGGTTTGGCTCAATGGATAGAGCATCAGCCTGCGGACTCAAGGGTCCCAGGTTCGATTCCAGTCCAGGGCATGTACCTTGGTTGCGGGCACATACCCAGTAGGGAGTGTGCAGGAGGCAGCTGATCGATGTTTCTCTCTCATCGATGTTTCTAACTCTCTATCCCTCTCCCTTCCTCTCTGTAAAAAAAACAATAAAATATATTAAAAAATATATATGAGATCACTGTTGGCTGGACGTGATAATTTGATGTAATATTTTTAAAAAGCAATTTGGCAATACACACCAAGAGCTTTAAAATCCATACCCCTTGATCTAGTTCCCTTTCTAGGAATCTATCTAAGGTCATACTCAGGAACTCGAAGATAGTCATCATCGAAATGAAAAACAGTGCAGCGCAGTGGAAACAGCACAGGCCGTAGCCACTCATATTTGGGTCTGAATCCTGGCTCTGCCCCCTCACATCAGAGTAACTTATGCTTAACCTCTCTGAGCCTGTTTCCTCATCTGTAAAACAAAGATGATAATAACTAGGTTTACGAGGTTGTGAGAATGAGAGAGAACGCATGTAAGTCAAAGTAGAAAATGCCCATGATTGTCATAATTTATAGTGATATAATAGATTCAATACCCAGTAACTCCGTGGTTAGATAAGTTATAGTGTAATCTGATCATGAAACATTATAGAGCCACTCAAAGTGGGACCGTCAAAGAACTCCGACACTATTTCCGTCTATGGAATTACTTACTCATCATCTGGAGTGAGCTGGACAGGTTCATTAGTAAACTGAGAATCAAAGTTGTCCAAACCAAATTCCCCAGAAATATTTGGTTTAAAGGGAGGTACCACCTGCTTTTGCTCCATCTAGAAAGACAGATTGGATGACAGTTCAAGCCTGCATTCTTGGAAAAATCCCCCTCTACATTCCTCCTCTGCCCTCAGAGGTTTCCCAGTCTTATTAAAGTGAGTCCCCAGGTAAGGCGCCACAACACTATTCACAGTGAGGGAAGTAATTTACAAATCTGAGCAGCGGTGCAGGTCTCAATATTACAATCTGTTCCACGTTAGAGAGAGGTTTTAAGTAATTTAGGCTGTGATACACTCGTTTTTCAACATTCTTTCAAGGTAATAAAATTTGGCCCAAGATAATGATGAAACCCAACACAGAAAACAATCACAATTTACATACCATATCCCAGTCAACATTTCGGAAGAACGGGTGTCCCTGAATATCAGCAAATCCTGTTTGAGGATGACAACCCAATCGTTCCTTTGGGTCCTATGGTGGAAAGAAATGTTTCAAAAATGGGTGAATATCAGGCTTTAGAATACATGATCTTTGTGACCTGTGTTCTGTGTCTACTATATGATACCTTTATTTCTGAAATCAGAATGGTCTACCTTTCCTTTCTAGAAGGTACAACACTAGGTTCAAATGAGTATCTGAAGCTTGTGACAAGTAAGATTTCCTGATGGCTCTTTCTCCAGCTGTCATGTAATTAAAGTGAAGCTGCAACCACCCATGCTAAAGAGAAATGGGAGGGAAAATAGAGCAGCAGAATAATTTGAGCAGCATTCAGCTATGTCTTTGCCATGGGTTACAGTGACAAGTCAAATTTTGCAAACCCCCAAACTTCACAAGTTTGTTCTTAGCTCAATTTAGAAGCTCTATGCCCAATTACAGCAACAACTTATAATTTGTGTACAATAATGATACAACCTTTATCTGAATCACTGGACTGAGAAGGGGCCTACAACTTAGCTTATTCATTACTGTGAAATGAAAACATGTTCCCAGCCCCCAGTCCCCCAATAAAAGGCATTTTATTTTGCATATTAACACCTCTGACCTTCACTTTTCACTGTGTTAAAGTTTAGGTTTCTAGTTTAACACTTTCCTCATATAAAGCACTCACTCTACATAATAAAAGGTTAATATGCAAATTGTCCCCTCAAGAGTTCGACTGACCAACTGGGAGTTCAACCGCTCGCATGACATGCACTGACCACCAGGGGGTGGCGCAAAATGAAGGAAAGCCCCGACCGGCAGCCGGCAGCCAGGGGAAGGAAGGCCCTGATTGGCCCTGATTGCCTAGAAACCCTACCCATGCACAAATTTCATGCACCAGGCCTCTAGTTTAAAATAAGCTTCAATTTCTTATTTTATTAAAAGTCATCATTATCTTATCCATTTATCTTAGAAGGTAAATGCACATTAACCTATAATTTGATTTGATTGCCAAGATCATTGTAACACAATAAGAAGTATGTATTTGGTCTTTGTCCCTGGTTGGACCCAAAGTTTCTAAAACCCTTTTAACTTCCTGAGTGACAGGAGTGTCTTTTTGTCTATTCTATTTTGTTATTCATAACAAGTCCCTTTCAATGATTCCTGAATTTACCCTAATAGGGTGACTCTTGGTGGGCCTCTAGATAGCTTCAGGATGGGGTCTGATTGCCAGAGGAACCAACCATGCAATTAAAGGGTTGGGACTTTGAGCCCAATTTCCAGAAGGACTACAAATTGAGCTCAATCACCAATGGCCTATGATATAATCAATCATGCTTATGTGAAGGCACCTCCATAAAAATCTCTATATCATGGGGGTCACAGAGCTTCTGGCTGGTGAACATATCTATGTGCCAGGAGGTGGCACACCCCAACGCCACAGAAACAGAAGCTCCTGTGCTCAGGACCCTTCTGGACCTCACCTCTTCGTCTGGTTGTTCCTTTGTAATCTTTGTAATCCACCAGTGATAGTAAGTAAATGTTTTCCTGATTTTCTGTGAGCCATTCTAGCAAATTATTGAAACTAAAGTGTGTGTGGGGGGAGGGAGGGGGACCCCCAATTTTATAGCCAAGTCAGACAGAAGTGGTACCCAATACTTGTGACTGGCCTCTGAAGTGAGGGCAGTCTTGTAGAATTGAGCCCTTATACCTGTGGAGTCTGATGCTAACTCCAGGTAGTTAGTGTCAGAAATGAAGTGAAATATAGGACACATAGTTGGTATCTGGAGAGCTGGAGAATTGGTTGTTGGTGTGGAAAAAAAACCTATACACTTGGTTATAAATGTTATCAGTAAGAACAGTTCAGAATCATAACTTTAGATAGATCCTAAAACTATAGCCTACCATCTACAACAAACAACTGAATGCATTCAGATTTGTTAAGAGCGAAGAAGATTCATTTCTTCTGAATGTTATCTAATCATAGGGTTTTTGACATGGGAATCTGTAGAGAACACGACTGCCCCAAGTGCTCAATAAGTAAAGAGATTCTATGAATATGAATGCAAAGAAAATTGAAAATAAGAGCAGAAAGTATAATTAAGACCATCCCCAAAGATGTAATTTTTCCTTAATTGAGTACACGGTATGTATCATTTACATTGAAAATAACATATGTAATATACAGCTGGGAGTAAATTATGTTGGCAAATGGAAAGGACAGCTCATCTCAGTATCTAATGTTGTCAATTTACTCTTTGGCGAAGAGACAAATTCCAGATGTAACTGAAAAAATTACATCCTCTGATACTTTGGAATTTTACATTGCTTGATTCTCTACTCACCAGTCTCATTTATATAGAGATAAACCACTAAAGATTTTTTATACAGGATTTATACCTTGTTGAGAAAACTCTTTAGGACACTTGCAGCTTTTACAGACAGGGAACGTGGTATTCGAATTTGTTTTTCCAAAATAACTAGAAAGATAAAATAATGGCATTATATTTAACTTTTACATGGCTTTCATCTTTACATTTTTATTATGAGATATTCAAGGCATTTTAGCAGAAAAAAATAAGACATTACATAGACTGCTTAAACGTCTCTGTGTACTTTCCCAGCCCCATTCCTCTCTGTTTTTAATCATTTACATGCCTGTTTTATCTTTGACTACCTTATTGTGCCTTAGTTTCCTCATCTGTAAAACTGGTAAAAATAATACCTGCTTCATAGGTTTGCTATGAGGTGTAAATGAATTAATATCTGGAAAATGTGTGGCGCATATTACTGTTTTGGATTTGACTGGACATTGCCAAATTATTCTTCAAAGATGTGTCGATTTCACTCCCGCCAGCAGTCTATGAAGAATTCCAGCTGCTCCACATCCTCACCAGCACCGGTATTAACAACACTTTAAATTTTTTGCCAAATGTATGGGGTATGAAAGAGTAGTTCATTAATGTTTTAATGTGCATACCCTAACCACTAGTGAGGTTGGACATCTTTCCACATATTCCATGGCCTTTGGGATTTGCTATTATATGAGATATTTATTCCTATTGTGAGAGCCCTTAATTATTAAATGTAAAATTTTATGGCAGTCTTCCCACTTCTTTGGACTGTGTGTTGGGGATGTGTACTTATCTGCTTGTTTCTGTTCTGTTCAACTCTTTGTATTCCCAATTGTGGGGCTTTTATCTTCACCTTTTGATACCTCTTATCTTCTTGGTACTCTACTTTTTCCCATATTGTTCTTGAACTTATGTACTTGGCCTCGGGTTCATGTGAAAAGACTGTCCTCTCTAGCCACAGGATTTCTTCCCCCAATCTCTGTTTGCAGTATACAATCTGATGGAAACTGTTTTTGAGTATGAGACGGTAACTGGCAAATGGAAATGGACACTACAGAGGTAGAAAAGATGTAAAAAAAAGTCAAAGCCTCACACATGAAGGAAGACATTCTCGAGATTCTTTTCTCCTTCCTTTTTTTAAAAATTGATTTTTAGAGAAAGAGGAAGGGAAAGGGAGAGAGAGAGAAACATTGATGTGAGATCAAAACAACCATCAGCTGCCTCCTACACAGTCCCTACTGGGGATCGAGCCATCAAGCCAGATAATGTGCCCTGTCCGGAACCAAATTGGCAACACTTTGGTACACAGGACGACTCCTAACTAAGCCACACCGGCCAGGGCTATGTTCCTCTTTCTTACCTTGGAAGAGATAGTCCTCTGTGTTTTGATCAGGGTTATCAGAGCTCCCAACGATATCAAATGGAGACCTTCCTGCCATCATCTCAAACATTAGTACTCCAAGAGCCCACCAGTCAACACTGAAACCTTCAATAGAGAAATTTTAAATTATCCAATCTGCATTCTTAAACGTCATTAATTTGAGATTCATTTTATTACATAATAAAAAATAAACATAATGAGAACGTAAACTCTAGATGCATTATAACCACCGTGGTAGGCATAGAGGATTGCAAGCATATTTCACTTATCAACAAGGGGAGGTACCTGAGAGATAACTTTAAAAATAAACTATAAAAAAATAACACATTCAGTTTCTTTTCTTAAATAAATGTGTAATTTCAGACTCACAGTCCGTATCTAATATTTTGTTCTGTTGACATAATTAAATTGCATTTGAGAATAACTTTCCTGGGTCTAAAACTTGATCTTCTGCTAGCTGATTAAAGATTCTTGAAGAACCTTGGAATCAGATTATGAGCAGCGGTCAGAAGTACCCATCCTCCTTTACATTTGCTGAAACGAGAGGTCTAGAACCAAAGCAGTCATGCTTTCTTAAGATAAAGCACGTCTTAAAGATATCCCAAGAAATCTGAACAATCTTCCAGAGACTGTTCTGGAGTCATATGGATGATGTTTAAATCCCTACTCTGCCACTTCCCAGTTGTATGACCTTGAGGAGGTTACTTAAACTTTCTACACATTAGTTTCCTCGTCTGTGAAATGGGAATTAACAGTGTTTATGTCATATGATTGAGAGCATTAACTTAGGTAATATATATAGACTGCTTAGAATAGTGCCTAGTACCCTTTAGTGCTTGTCACTAATAAAATATCATTCAAATGTGTACCCCCAAATACTGTCAAAGTTCCACTGTCTCCAATTTCACAGTTTGGGCTTTAATGTAGATTTTAAGGGGATCAGGATAGCTTATACTAATAAGATCAACTTTAAAATACTATAGTATACTATAATGCAATTTGTACCACATCTAACCACCCTTTTAGCACATAGCTAAAATACCATCTATTAATTTATTACCATAATCTTCTCCTCTTAAAATTTCAGGAGCAATGTAATTTGGAGTACCACAGAAAGTGCTTGTTGTATCTCCTGGCCGTAATCCTTCCTTTTATAAAAAAGAAAAAAAGAGAACCAATAAGACCCAAAATGTCGTTTTAAATTCACCTCTTTTATTTCACCTATAGAAGCTCAGCAACTGTTAAGCTTAAATAAAATATCACTAGCACAGTTGCCTTTCACATTAAAATCATGGATTGAAATAGCTCAAAGAAAATCTGTCCTCATTAGGTGTTGATAAAAAATCAGTTCAATTACGATAAAAATTGCATTTAAAATAATTTATATTCAAGTTAAGTTTAATAGAAAAAGTTAAATTATATTAGAGTAAAAGGAATTATATTTTATGAAGAAAAGAAGCACTTTAACCTTGCTTCCTAATATAACCACAGCTGGCATTATGATGTTTCTCTCTGGTTGTTCCTAGTGCATAAGTTTTTTCGGTTTTGTATTTTAATAGCTGCAGGATGGAGAAAATTAAGACAAGACCCAGTAATCTGTATAAAAAGAGAAACTACACAATAACAAATGGAGCAATCACCAAGAAATTATAACAAACTATGTATGTGCCTAACAATACAGCCTCGAAATACAAAGAATAGAAATAGACAAAAGTATTAGCATTTTACAATCGCTGCTATGGACTGAATGTTTGTGTGCCTCCGAATTCATATATTGAAGCTCTAATGTGATAGGGGAAGTGGAGCCTTTGTAAGGTAATTAGGTCGTGAATTTAGAGCCCCCAGGATGGGATTAGTATCCTTGTAAAAAGGGAAAGACAGCTAGCCCTGCTCCCCACCCCATGGAGGATGCACTAAGAAGACAGCCATCTGTAAATGATGAAGAGTGCTGGCACCTTGACCTTGGACTTCCCAGCCTCCAGAACCATGAGAAACGAATGCTTGTTTTTGAAGCCACCTTGTTTTGAAGCAGCCCAAACTGATAATACAATCCCTAATCACAACTAGAGGCCTGATGCACAAAATCTGTGTACTTGTGTGTGTGTGGGAGGGGGTGGCCCTCAGCCTGGCCTGCGCCCTCTCGCAGTCCGTGAGCCCGGATTCTGGCTGAGCAGCGCTGGCCCCGTGGGAGCGCACTGACCACCAGGGGACAGCTCCTGCATTGAGCGTCTGCTCCCTGGTGGTCAGTGCACATCATAGCAACCAGTCGTTCCGCTGTCGGGCTGAAACCAGCTCTCCAACATCCCCTAAGGGGTCCCGGATTACAAGAGGGCGCAGGACAGGCTAAGGGACCCCACCAGTGCACGATCGGGGCCAGGGAGGTTGGCCAGCCGGGAGGGACCGCGGGAGGGCTCCAGGGCGTGTCTGGCCCAGCTTGCTCAGTCCTGATCAGCCAGACCCCAGCAGCAAGCTAACCTACCGGTCAGAGTGTCTGTTCCCTGGTGGTCAGTGCATGTCACAGCGACTGGTTGACCGGTTAACTGTCTGCCCCCTGGTGGTCAGTGCACATCATAGCGAGCAGTTGAGCGGCCTTAGCATATCATTAGCATATTACACATTGATTGGTTGAACAAACGACCAGATGACTGGACACTTAGCATATTAGGCTTTTATTATATAGGATGATAGATTACATGGCCAAAATTTAGTAAGCACAGAAAGATTTGGACAAAAGCTAGAGCTGAAAAAATATATAAATTATGTAGATAGAGAATATGTCTACCAATGTTTCTGTGTGGAGAAAGGAAGGAGGGAGAGAGAGTATGTGTGAGACTCCTTGCTTGCAAAATGGAGATTATATATCCTTTTTAAGTACACGTGAGATACTGACCAAATACTAAGTCATAAAGGAGGTCACGGTTTGATTCCCAGTGACGGCACATGCCCTGGCTGTGGGCTCAATCCCCAGTAGGGGCATGTAGGAGGCAGCTGATCAATGATTCTCTCTCATCACTGATGTTTCTATCTCTCTCTCCCTTCTTCTCTGAGATCAATAAAAATATATTTAAAAAACAATCAATAAGGTTTTCTTAAATAAAATCAACAAGATAGTTAAATATACAATTAAGCATCTGCTTCTTTTACTTTAGAAGCATGTAATTCCCTATGTAATTACAGACTTCTTAATGTTAATGACTACAAAAAATTCAACTGAATGTATGTACCTAGAATGTAACCATTTCCCAATGTTAAATTATATGGTAAAAATTCCAAAAAAAGGGGGGGGGGGGAGGAGGGAGCTATACATTGAAAAATCAAGCCTTCTTCACATTCCTGTCCCTGACACATCTTGCTCCAGCTCCCTAGAGGCAACCACTGTTATGAGGTTCTTGATGTGTCCCTCCTAAGATATTTTAGACATAGTGTATGTATTTTTCTTTAAATTTTACTCTATAAGCTATAACACTTCTATAAACATCTGGAAGAAATATTTAGTAATATGTTGTGACTCTAAAGATTATTTTGTGATTCCTCATAGGGATATATAAGCTATTCTGCAGATGAAGAAATATGACTGTGACTTAAGTTGTTTGGTACTATTGGCAATGATTTGACATATCGTTTAATAATAAATGACATTCACTTTCAGGGCAAAAGTCAGAGGCAAGGGATGCAGTCTGTTAACCTGTAACAGAGCTATGCTAAATCATTCACTTGTTGACTGAATTATCTAAATGTAGGCCCATCAGCTAAATTATCTACAGCGTAATAGAGATGTTACTATTAAAATTCCCCTGCTGATAAATCCTATATAATAAAAGACTAATATGCAAATCAACCAAATGGCGGAACGACCAGTTGCTATGCAGGAACTGCCCCCTGGTGGTCAGTGCGTTCCCACAGGGGGAGTGCAGCTCAACCAGAAGCGGGGCTCATTGCTGGCAAGCGCAGTGGCGGTGGTGGGAGCCTCTCCCGCCTCCGCAGCAGCGATAAGGATGTCTGACTGACAGCAGGCCTAAGCTGTCAGTCGGACATCCCCTGAAGGCTCCCAGACTGCGAGAGGGTGCAGGTCAGGCTGAGGGGGGACCCCGCCCCCCGCCAAGTGCATGATTTCATGCACCAGGCCTCTAGTAAATAAATAATTCATAAAATAGTCAAAGTTTTTCAGTCCATAAAAATCAATGTTCACAAAATATTTCAAACATAGCCTGAAGATATTAATTCAAGTTTTCATATGCCTCTAGTCATCACTATTCTAAGCACTCTTTATATAAAAGCATCTAGTGAGAAAGTGAAGGATTGATTAAATTAATTAAACCTAAAGGAAGTATTTCTGTAGAAACTACATAAATTTTTTTTAGTGTTTTAGATTTCCAAAGGAATTGTTACAAGGAAAAGAAATTCATCCAATATTTGCCAGAGGTCTGATTTTAGGAAAGTTTAAATACTGACTCTAAGTCATAAAATAAGAACATTCTATTTCCTGGGGATTCATTTCACATTTTGTGGAAAAAGACTGAACCTTTAAGCAAAACAGTGTTACAAAAAGAATAAAACACCAAGAAATGAAGGGCATGTCCTGAAAATGAACTGTACTTTATGTCAGATATTTAAAATTTAAATATAAAAAGAGATAAATTTCCTAGGAAAATTTTAAATGCATTATTGAGAATTACAATTAAATGGCAAAAACTGGAAGGTGATATGCAAGTAGTTGTGTTAACATTGAGGGACTGTAGATAATTTTTATCTTCAAAATTTTAATAGTATCACAACTTTCAAAAAAAGGTTACAGTGCATATGTAGAATTTAACTCATTATAGGACATATAACACAGAAAATATGGAATTCTGTAAATGGTTAGAAAAAAAGTACACAGTAGGGCAAAAGTAAGTTTACAGTTGTTCATATGGAAAATAATAAATAAAAGAATAAACTGTGTTTTACATATTCACAACTGTAAACCGACTTTTGCCCCACCCTGTATACTTGTTTTTGTGCTACAATTCCAAAAAGTATCCTAAACAAAGTAGTAATCATTTCTCCATCTTTAAGTATGAAGTTATTTTACCAAAACAATCTTAGCAGCATCTGAGAGCTTTCGAATAACCAGAATTTTCCCTCACCTTACACATGCCGTAGTCAGTGAGTTTAATGTGTCCTTCTGAGTCCAGCAATACATTGTCCAATTTCAAATCTCTATAAATTATCCCTCGTTCATGAAGGTAATTTAATGCTAGACTGATTTCTGCAGAGTAAAATCTAAAATAAAATGAAAAAACTCATTTGATTCAAGTTTTAAAACTGTAAATTTCTAGAGGAAGGTATTTAAGTCATACTCCTGTCTGCAAATTAAAACATCAAAATCATGTTAAAAGATTTTTTTCCTGTGTTTTTAGGAACAATACCAAACACAAATTAAAGTACCACTTTAAAACATCTGAACCCAAAACGTAATTATAAAAGATCCAGTATAGATCAAACTCATTAAGTTATCAATTTGAAAGTCTCAAACAGGGGTTGTTAATCTAGCTGGACCTCAGGCAGTCCATGCTCCCACAACTGGGGTAAAGTGTAAGTACCTGTGCACACGTATGCACATCTTCTACAGAGTTGCCATCACTTCTCTAAAGGACCAGTGACCTCACAAAATGCTAAGACCCACTGATTCGTGTAGAATAGAAAGAACACTAAGAGTCTATCACTGAAACCATAAAATCCATACCAAAATGCCTAGAGCCCTGACCGGTTTGGCTCAGTGGATAGAGCGTTGGCCTGCGGACCGAAGGGTCCCAGGTTTGATTCCGGTCAAGGGCATGTACCTTGGTTGCAGGCACATCCCCAGTAGGGGGTGTGCAGGAGGCAGCTGATCGGTGTTTCTCTCTCATCAATGATTCTAACTCTCTATCCCTCTCCCTTCCTCTCTGTAAAAAATCAATAAAATATATATTTTTTAAAATGCCTAGAAAAGGAACTGAAAGAAATTATTCTGCAACCATAATATTTAATATTAAAGAAAGAAGTTTTAAAATTGTCACCAACTCATTGGTGATAACCAGAACTTTTGACCTGACTAATGAAAACGAAATACCAAGCTGGTTTATGGCTGCTTAGATGAAGAGCATCACTATCTTGTTTGGAGATACGAAATATATACCTTCTAGCTACTTAATTCTATGAATAGGGAACTTGAGCCTTTAGTCTGTACTTTGGTTCTAGAAAAGCAAAGATGGTAAAAAAATAAATTAAAAAAAAATGGAACTTTAATACAATAAACTGGACTACTTTCCCCATGTCCCACTGAACAAACCAGAAACAAATACTGGGTATGTATTCACAAAATAAAGTATCATCCATGGCTTTGCTACTGAAGGGCCACCATTTGATAAAGCCTAAATAAACAATAAACATACAGTAAATAAAAGAAAGAGCAGTTTGGCCCTGAGGTTAATTCATATAATTTATAGCTTCTTATAAAATTGAAGGATATCTCTTTTTGACAAGAAATAAAAATTAATGAACTAGCAAGATTTTCACTAAATAAATTATTTAAAAAAAAATAAAATCTCTAACCTTTGTTACCAACGTGTACAAACTCACAGGCTTCATTTTTTTAAATTATTCTTATGAAACACAAAAGAGTGAGAATTACTGCTAATTATGAGTAAAAATCAAACCATGGCACTGAACTAAACTTCTTATCCAAGGCCATGATCCTTCCCCACCTAAATCTTCCAATATAGAAACAATTTACAATCTTGTATAATAATATTAAAGAAAGGGCACTAAATAGATAATATTTAATGCTCTTTGCTCGTATTCAACATGTATGGAATCACAGGAAAAAAGCCAACATCAGACCAATTCAAAAATTATAATTATAAGAATAGTCAGGCATGTATAATAGCTTAAGAGAGGAACTGTTTTATTACTCTCAAGTATATCTATATATGTAATCTATATATATAAAAGGCTAATATGCTAAGTGTCCGACCTTTCGACTGTTCAACCAGTACCTATGACGCACCCTGACCACCAGGAGGCAGACACTCAATGCATAGGCATAAAAACATGGAACAGACTGATGAATCTCAGAGGGAAGGGAGTAGGGGGGAGGGCGGGAAGAGATTAACCAAAGATCTTATATGCATGCTAGAGGCCCAGTGCACAAATTCGTGCACCAGTGGGATTCCTCAGCCTGGCCTGTGGGGATCAGGCCGAATCTGCGCACCAGGCCTCCAACATCCTCCGAGGGGTCCTGGATTGCAAGAGGGCACAGGCCAGGCCGAGGGACCCCACCAGTGCACGAATCCATGCACTGGATCTCTAGTATGAATAATAATCGTCTAATGAAAAACTGTCAGAGATCACTGCAAACCTGATAAGATTAATAAGTATTTGTAAATTCAATTATTTCAGAGGCTGATGCTAAAATATTTTAAAGCAATTTGGTTTAGTTGACTAAAGGTTTCCCCTCTAATACTGTTTATACTTTTCAAAAGCTTATAATTATATTATTACATACTATATAATGGTATATATTGTAAAATATTATAATGCAAAATAATTTTAGGTTAGTTCCCATTACTTACAAAGAATTAACTAGTATCGAGATCAATAATTTATCTACTGTTTTCAACCACTGGCACATAAAAGTCCCATAGCTGCTCCCCAAAATCCCAACACAAACAATAATCAAGAAATTTACCTGGCATGTTCTTCAGGAAGTTTTCTTTGTCTCTGCATATGAAACATTAGATCTCCTCCATTTACATACTCTATGACAAAGAACAATCTAAAACATAGGAGAGAACACATGAAACCAAGGTCCAAAAGAAGGAAATGTAACTGTGCATTTTAAACATTGTAGAGACCAGTCACAACATAAAGAGCATTCTGTGATTTACCCTGTACAAAAATCCCAGGAATTTGGTGGAAACAAAGGGTGGTTGTAGTAGAAAGCTGTTAAATCACAGTAGATACAAGAAAGTAAACCAGCATGATAGTAATTCTGTAACCTGCTACTTCTGTAGTACCAATTGCAATCCAGACCCTCCCACTCCCACCCCAATTCTAACGTTAGGGTGATACGTCACTTCAACTGTCCCTTAAGGTAAAGAAGTTAGGATTTCTCCCCCTAGTTAAACTCTGGGAAACTTTAAATCTAAAGCTAAAACCTTAGGGATATTTAAAAGTATGGATCTCTACTGCCATATTTTGACCATATATATAAATTCATCTTTATGGTTGAAAGTATTACAGATGTTCCCTTTTTTTTCTCCCACTGTCTCCCTCTACATTCCTCACACACCCCCCGCTGCCCGCCGGCCCTGACCAGGCTATATTTTTTAAGCAGATAATTTCTTCATGCTAATCCAAACAGATATCACTGATTGGTGTTCAGGTGTCAGGAAATCATAAGCGTCATACTGTTGTGTCTGTCTCCATGACTTCCGCTTCAGGATTTATAGTATGAAGAGTTCTTATTGTGTAATATGCAAAGTATGTAAAGCCTGTAATCACTCCATTATCTTCCAACCTTACCTGCTTTCTGTCTGAAAGCAAGAATGCAGCCCAACAAGAAAAGGATGATTGGATGCCTGCTCAAAAACATGCTTCTCTGTCTGTACCCAGTCAATATCCTATTTTAAAATATGAAAGAAATATTTACCAAACTGAAATATCATCAAACTATATTTGTTCTTGGCAATTCAATGATCACAAATGCAATTATTAACTAACTATGCTAAATATCAAAGAATGAATAATCATGCAACAACAATTTATATGCAAAGAGAAAAAAAATACTACCAGTAAATATTTCAATATTATGAAATGGTTTAGAAAACTTTTTCAAAGCTCAATCAAGTACTTTCCCTTGGTCATAATATGGTTTGATTTTTATTTTTTAAAACCTAATAACCATCAGATTTCTTTAAAAATATTTTATATAACCCATTTGAGGCATTATTTAGAAAAATAGACTGAAGTAAGTCATAAACATTGAGGTTTTCTCTGAAATGGTACAGTTAAGTCAATTTAACAGTTTAGAAGTAATAAAACATTGTGCTTACCTCATCATCATTGACAAGCTCTTTTTTCACAACTTTCATTGCATAGATACGATCTGTTTTTTTTAATCGCACCAACAGTACTTTGGCATAACTTCCTCTTCCTATTACCCGGAGCAAATCAAAATCCTGAAGACCTAGACTGGATGATGCTTTGCCACTTTCCCTGGTGTTCATTGCCTGTTGAGAACATTTATATCAGTTATAACTGGCCCTAGCAGGGGCTTAGTGGTTACAGCATCGGCCTGAGGACTGAAGAGTCATGGGTTCAATTCCAGTTAAGGGCAGGTACCTTGGTTGCAGGCTTGATCCCCAGCCCCCAGTGAGGGCACATGTGTGAGGCAACCAATTGATGTTTCTCACTCCCCACCACCCCACTTCCACTCTCTCTAAAAAAAAAATCAATAGAAAAAATATCCTTGCATGAGGATTAACAACTAAAAAAGAGTTATAACTGGAAGTATTTTGCATAAATATGATATTTCTAACACCTAGTTATACCCATGACTATTTTAAAAATATTTTCTTATTTAAGTTCTTAACAATTCTTTTCTAACATCATTCCAAACGATGCAATCTAACTACTCAAGAAGTGGGACAAATTCACGAGGTGAGGTCAGAGGGGTGGTGACAGCAACGGAGAGGGAGTTGAAACCTGAAAAATGCTAAAGGATGTCTTTAAAAGGATCTGGTAAGCCCTAGCTGGTTTGGCTCAGTGAATAGAGTGTCGGCCTGTGGACTGGGGGGGTCCCGGGTTCGATTCCAGTCAAGGGCACATACCCAGGTTGTGGGCTGGATCCCCAGTGGGGGGTGTGCGGGAGGCATCCAATCAATGATTCTCTCTCATCAGTGATATTTCTATCTCTCTCTTCCTCTCTGGTAAAACTTTGGGATATAATGGAGATGCATGAATAAAAATGACACTAACCTTGGTGACTGGGAGAGTGGAGGTACACTGACAGAAAATGTAAGTGTGAGCATGAAATAAGATAATGAGCTTGGGTTTTCATTTTGTAGTTAGGAGTTATAATGGGACAGCAAGATGAACGAGTCTGCTGGAAGTCTGATATATGAAATCTGAGCTAATGAAAGGACACATTCAGAAACACTGGGAACTATAAGCAGAAAACAAGCATGAGGCAGTTCAGCTACTAGAAAACCTTCTTTTCTACACAACACCAAGGCTCCACTGGCATGACAATAAGAGCCTTATAATTCATTCACAACTAGAAACGTAGGCTTCTGGTCATTTATAGAGAAGACTGAAGATGATCTTTTATTAGATAGCTGCAAAATTCTCAGCATACAATCAACAGATGTACCCATGAGAATTAAGTATGAATTTTCTGAAGTGAAGAGAATCAAGAAGAGCAAATAGTAAATTTTGAGAAAGATAAACAAGTAAGCACTGTGTGTGTGTGTGTGTGTGTGTGTGTGTAATGAAAACTTTTTTAAAAGATTAAAAAGAAGGATCACACATTAAAATTTAGAATAATCTGAATTGGTAAAATGAATAAATAAAGAGGAGTAAAGAAAAACCAGATTAGGTCAGATTAAGAAAGCAGAGAATAGTTAGAAGCAAAGCAATGTACAGACTTCATATGGCTGACAGTAAACCATAAAAGAGAGTCACATGGACATAAGCACTAACTGGGAAGACTGAGTGAAGCTACAGAAGCCAGAACACAAGAACATTACCTTCAAAGGGCCTAACCCCAACTCCTGCTAACCTACGACTTTATATTCTGCAAAAATGCCTTCAAAAAAGAAGTGAAGCCCCAACCGGTTTGGCTCAGTGGATAGAGCGTCGGCCTGCGGACTGAAGGGTCCCAGGTTCGATTCCGGTCAAGGGCATGTACCGTGGTTGCAGGCACATCCCCAGTGGGGAGTATGCAGGAGGCAGCTGATCGATGTTTCTCTCTCATCGATGTTTCTGACTCTCTGTCTCTCTCCCTTCCTCTCTGTAAAAAAATCAATAAAATATATTTTAAAAAAAAAAAGAAGTGAAATAACCTTTTCAGATGAACATTAACTAAGGATATCTATCCATCACTAGTCAGCTCTCTCTAAAGGAAACACTGAATTCTTCAAGAAAGATGATCTCATATGGGAGGGAAGACATGCAGAAAGGAATGTAGAAAAAAAGAATAAAATATAGATTAAACCTAAATAAGGATTGACTGCGCGCGCGCACACACACACACGTTTTTAAATGTGACAAAAACAGCACCAAAGGCAGAAAGGGAGGGTAAGTAAATTTAATGTATTTTAAGGTCCTTGTATATGATGGGAAATGGGAAAAGTATAATTAGTAATTGTTATTGAATTTAAATAAGTTAAGGATGTAAGATGCAATCCCTAGAACAACCAGTAATAGACTAGCAAAACAATGTCAAACGGATTCTGGTCAGGATGGTGGAGTAGTTAAGCACTGTGCTCACCTCCTCCCACATCAAAATTACAACTAAAAAATAGAGCAATCCACCTGGAGAACCACCTGAAGACTAGCTGAACGGAGCTGCTCTGACTAAGGATATAAAGAAGAGGCCACATCAAGACCTGTAGGAAGGGCAGAGACTCGAAACAGGCTGGCCCACACCCACATGTGGCAGCTGAGAATCAGGAGGGATAGCCTCGCAGCAGAGGTCCGTCCCTCTTAGGAGCGAGGGGCCCCAGCCCCACACCAGCTCCTATCCCAGGAATCCAGTACCAGGAAGAGTAGTCCCTGCAACAGCTGGATGTGAAACCAGCAGCAATTCCGTCCCAGCAGAGTGAGATGGAGGGCAACTGGAAACCCAGGTGTCCTCTTAAAGGGCCCGTGCACAGACTCACTTGCTCACAGGCACTCACCCTGAGCTCCAGCAAAGGGTAAGCAGCTCGAAAGGCACCAGAGACATTCTGGGAAAGACCAAGTTGTGTGTCTTCAAGGCGAAAGCCCCACTGAGCCCCCCTCACAGAGCCTCCAGGGGCAGGCGAGTGCCAAATCTGAATCTGCATTAAACAGGTAAACACCACTCACCTATTCCTGGTGACTCACTGAGATCCCGACCCACCCAACTCTGTGGGGATTCCTTCCAGGTCAGACAGAAGGCTGCTCAAAGCCCAGCAGTCCTCTTAAAGGGCCCACACAGAGACTCAATCGCTCACAGGCAGTCACCCTGAGCTTCCACAAAGGGCTAGCAGCTCACACGGCACAAGACATACGGGGAGAAAGTGAATTGTATGGCTTTGGGGTGAGGGCCACCACTGTCCCTGTGCTGAACCCTCCCCTAACACAGCCTTTAGAGAAGCGGTTCTCAACCTGTGGGTCGCGTCCCCTTTGGCAGTCGAACGACCCTTTCACAGGGGTCGCCTAAGACCATCCTGCATATCAGATATTTACATTACGATTCATAACAGTAGCAACATGACAGTTATGAAGTAGCAATGAAAATAATTTTATGGTTGGGTCACAACATGAGCAACTGTATTTAAAGGGCCAGAAGGTGGAGAACCACTGCTTTAGGAGGTAGGTAGGCACCAAATCTGAATCTGCATTAACCTGGTGAAGAATGCTTGCCCCACGGTGGTGACACCCTAAGACCCCACTCCAACCAACTCACACACTGCCTTGGCTCTTTCAGTGGCTGTGCCTCATAGGCAACCTCAGCTCCCACCAAGAGCTTTCTTAAAAAATCCCCCAAGGTCTGCAGGCCCCAGGCAGGTGGTGGTTACCCTTGGTATGCCCTGTGCCTTGGTAGCCAACCTCAGGTTACACCTTGCCCTCTTCCACAGACCTCTGGGCCCAGCACACATAGCTGCCAACCTCAGATCACTTTGTAGCTCTACCAGGTGTCCCTGGGCTGGGCATAGGTAGCAGATGACCTCCGCCTGCACCAAAGCCCCTTACAACAGGCTCCAGAACCAACACACCCACTGGCCAGCCTAAGACCACATCAGAGCACCAACCAATTAGTTCCAAAAATGGCACATACCAAGCGTGGTCTCAGCAGGCACCACAGCCCCGCTGGGGTGAATATCGCTGTGGTTGTGGCCATTCCTCACAGCCACTCAGCCTGAGGGTCAGCCATACCCACTAACAAACAAACAGCAATCCAGGCTCAACTGCAATGGGAAGGCACGACAATCCACACAAGGGTTATCCTGGAGCATCCAACTCAGGTGGCCAGGAAGACTATCACTGTGTCCCACAGGACACCTACTACAGAAGGCTATCCTGCCAAGTCTGGACGACATGGCTGATCTACCTAGTACCCAAAACTAAACACAGACAGGTAGCCAAAATGAGGAGACAAAAAAACATACCCCAAATGAAAGTACAGGAGAAAATGCCAGAAAAATAGCTAAATCAAATGGAGGCAAGAAATCTACCAGGTACAGAGTTCAATGAACTTAGAGGAAGAATAGATAAACTAAGTGAGAACTTCAACAAAGAGAGAGTAAACATAAAAAAGGACACGGGTACCATAAAAAAAAAATCATAAATGAAGAATCCAATACCTGAAATAAAGAATATGCTAGAAGAATCAACAGTAGGTTAGATAAAGCAGAAGATCAAATCAGTGACTTGGAAGACAAGTCAGTGGAAAACACCCAATCATAACAGGAAAAAGAGGAAAAGAATTTTTTTAAAATGAGGACAGTTTAAGAGACCTCTGGAACATCAACTGTACCAACATTTGCATCATGGGGTAACTAGAATGAGAAGAGGGAGAGCAAGGATTGAAAACTGATTTGAAAAAATAATGATTGGAAACTTCCTTAACAGGTGAAAGAAATGGATATACAAGTCCAGGAGGCACAGAGTCCCAAACAAGACGAACCTCAAAAGGCCTACAACAAGACACATTATAATTAAAACGCCAAAGACTGAAGACAAAGAGAAACTATTAAAAGCAGCAAGAGAAAAGCAGTTAGTTACCTACAAGGAAGCTCCCGTAGACTGTCAGCTGATTTCTCAGCAAAAACTTTATAGGTCAGAAGGAATTGGCATAAAATATTCAAAGCAATGAAAAACAAGGACCTACAATCAAAATTACTCTACCCAGCACAGCTATCATTTAAAAATCAAAGGAGAGATGATGAGCTTCCCAGATAAGAAAAGGCTAAAAGACATCACCAAACCAGTATTTCAAGAAATGTTAAAGGGACTTCTTTAAGAAAAAAAGAAAAACAAATATGAATAACAAAATAACAATAACTATATACCTATCAACAATCACTTTAAGTGTAAATGGATTAAATGCTCCAATCAAAGGACACAGGGTGGCTGAATGGATCAGAAACAAGACCCATACATATGCTGTCTACAAGAGACTCATCTCAGATCAAAAGGCACACACAGATAGAATATAAAGGGATGGACAAAGATATTTCATGCAAATGGAAATAAACAAAAAAGCTGGGGTAGCAATACTTCTATTACACAAAATAGACTTTAAAACAAAGGCTCTAACAAGAGACAAAGAAGGACAATACATAATAGTAAAGAGATCAACCCAGCAAGAAGATATCACCCTGTAAACATTTACACACCCAATTAGGGGCACCTACATTCATAAAGCAAATATTGATGGAAGTATAGGGTCAGATCGACAGCAATTATTGGGGACTTTAACACCCCACTGGCAAATATGGATAGATCATCCAGACAAAATTAAGAAGGAAATAGCATGAAATAAGCCAGTCAATGAAAGAAAAATACCACATGATCTCACTCATTTATGGATAATTAAGACCACTATAAACTGATGAACAAAAATAGATACAGAGGCAGAGCAACATCGAACAGACTGTCAAACTACAGCGGGAAGGCCAGGGAGGGTTGGGGGGATGGGTAAGAGATCAACTGAAGGACTTGTATGCATGCATATAAGCATAACCAATGGACACAAGACACTGGGGGGTATGGGAGGCTAGGGGAAGGTCAAGGGGAGGGGAAAAAAAAAAGAAGGAAATAGCAACCTTAAATGACATATTAGACCAAATAGATGTAATTGATATTTTTAGAACATTTCACCCCAAAGCAGCAGAATATGCATTCTTTTCAAGCACTCAGAGAACATTTCCCAGGACAGACCACATATTAGGTCACAAACAAGTCTTCATAAATTTCAGAAGATTAAAATAATTTTAAGCATCTTTTCTGACTGTAGTGGTATGAAACTAGAAATCAATTACAAGAAAATAACTGGAAAATACACAAAAACATGGAGACTGAACAATGAATGAGTTAACAACAAGATCAAGGAAGAAATCAAAAGATACCTGTGACAAATGAAATGAAAACACAACCCAAAAATCTATGGGACACAGTAAAAGCAGTCCTAAGAGGGAAATTCACAGAAATGCAAGCCTACCTCAAGAAACAAGAAAAGGCTCTCCCTCCCAGAAACACATCCATGCCTTTCGCTTTTCCCATCCCCTCCCCCTCCCTGCTCCAGGCATGTCACCACTAGCTTCCTCACTCCCAAGCTCCAACAGCCTTTCCTTTATCTCCATAACTTGATTCCTAAGTCCATTTCTTCTAGGAATTACTTCTTCTACCTCTTTGATTTGCCAAATAAATGTTCTCTTACAGTTTGGGTCTTCTTGGTTCTGAATTCTTTCCTAGCCAGAACCCAAGTACCAAAAAAACCCAAGTTAAAAAAAAAAAAAGACAGAAACAAGAAAAATCTAAGCAAGTCAATTTGTCATATTTTTACACTGTCAAGTCTTATTAAAAGGGTAATGGCATGGCACAGCCAGTTTGGCTCAGTGGACAGAGCATCAGCCCACAAGCTAAAGGGTTCTAGATTCTATTCCAGTCTAGGGCATGTACCTCCATTGCAGGTGCAATCCCCAGGCCTGGTCCAGGTGCATGAGGGAGGCAACCAATCGATGTGTGTCTCTCTCACATCAATGTTTCTCTCTCTGTGTCTCTCCCCGTCCCTTCCACTCTCTCTAAAAATCAATGGAAGTATATCCTCGGTGAGGATTTTAAAAAAAAGCTCATGGCATAATGTACAACAAGACTAATTAACCTTCAATAAACTAACATGAACAACTATTTTAAACATTTTTATTTAAAAAACTACTTTTAAACATATTTATTTTTTTTAAAAAAGACTAATTAACTTACCTCCTTTTCTTCACCAACTTGGTCCAAACTCTCATGACTTGACGGATTATATGGAATTACTAAAACCCAATCCCAAACATAAAAAAAAAGAGAAAAACAGCATCCATTAAGCTCAGTTTGACTTAAAATTTTCTCTTGATTTGATTATTTTAGTTTTTCTTTCTGGTCTTGATCATTTAAAATTAAGTAGCTGTCTTACTAATAACAAAGTGTATATAAATATGAAAATTAAATCCTAATCTTTAATGAGGGTAAAGGAGAGCAAAAACCAATCAGTAACCAAGTGCTGATTTTACCAAATATTTTTGCTATTTTAAAAATATTTTCCTTCTTTACAAATTAATCAATTTCTCTATAAGGGTGACTCTTTAAACCCATGTGATTATTTTAGTAGGAGTGAGGCATGGAAGCAGGGGGCTCTGGTCTGCATTCCTCACTTCTTTCATACTTAAAATGCTCCTAACTACTGCACCATGTAGGTGAAGTAAAGAACTGACAAGACTGTACTCTAGGCTTCTATTCCTTGAAGCCACTTGGATTAAAAAAAAAAGCCTACATTTCATATAACCAGCTTCTGCTATGAACAAGAAACTATATTCTGTCCTTTCAGAAAAAGTCCTTGCTTTGCCTTCCTTGATTCATCCCCTATTAGGCTTTTCTATCCCATTTAATTGCTCCTTAAACTTCCCAGATACACATTTGAGGTTTGTATCTACTTCACATTTGAATTCACATGATCTTTTTGGAATTTTTATACTGCATCTCTATATCTTTTACATACTTTCTACTTCTGATAATAAAGCTTTTAATAAAAACAGGTCACTTTAACAGAGTCAACATGGCCCACAAAATCAGTATGTTTTCATTATTAAAAAAAAAAAAAAACTAGGTTTGCTGAATTTAAAGGGGTCTTAAACAAAATTAATCTAAATTAGAGAAAATAGTCATTTGTTGTAATTTACATATTTGTCTTTTTAAAATGTCAAATGTATGTTAAATATTGTGATGATATTACCACCATAAAATTTGGTTGCCTCGCTTTTATGTGGGTAGAACAGAAATGTTTTTAAACCTAGGCGTAAGAGTCACTTAAAGAAGTCTTTGAACAATATTTTGTTAATGAACAATAATTCATGACAGTGTCATTTTTACCTGTTTGTGCATGGTCTGAGTGCATGGATGACGGATCCATGGGCATCATTGGTTCCTAGAAACATTTCCAAAGAAACAGCAACTTAGTGGATTCTTTTTAAATCCCAATAACTCTATAAATTCTGGAGCATTGTTTTAATGAGACACATCATATTAACACATAAATTTGACAAAACATAACTTATAATGAGAACTATATTACTATATTTAATTTGCTTTTAATTTTACTGACATCATATAATATTCCTGTAAATGAGGTAATGTCACATTTTACAGATAACGGAAGGAACACACAAAACTAATTTCAGGCCATCAAATAGAAATAAAAATTATTCTCCTATATATTCTGATTTCTCTTATACACTACCTAATCTTCTTTCAAGCTCCATATACACTTTAAGTCTCTGGGAGGAGTCTCTAGTATGTATCTGACTTCTTTAGCTGAGGCCCAGAGATGGATCTCAAGATGTCTATACACCTCTTGAAATTCCATGTAAAATTGTGTGGGAAGGTGTCAGTGAACCAAAAAAGGAAAAGAAATACCCCCTAGAAATTGACTTAACCACTGTCAATAACCTAGGATAATACTAATTCAAACCAAAATGTTACTAATTCATTAATCTTGGACCCAGATTCAATGAATACCAGCAAGAAAAGGTGAACCTGAGAAGGAACATTAATTATACATTTATAATTTTAAGGCTGCCTTAAAGATAGGGCTCATGAATTTCTTACTGCATTTAGCACCTATTCTAAATATAATCACTAACCCTGTCCCTTTTGTGTGTTTTTTTTCCATTCATAAATTCACACAAGTCATCCATCACCTAGGAATACGCACACAAATATCAATAGTAACCTGGAGAAATTATGTTCATACTTTTTGGCCTTCTGTTTTTCCTTAAGATTGGATTTTTACCTCCGTAACTTGTACAAACCCACATCTAAGCTTATATGAACCAGCTACATAATTCTAACACCAAAGAGACACCGCTAATAATCTTTGTTCAAACAAGGTACTATGAGTAAACATGGTATAATCGTTCTAGAAGACAATTTAGAAGGAGGCATCCAGATCTTTTTAAATACACATATTCTTTAACCCAATAATTCTTCTTCTTAAGATTTATTCACCAGTAAGTTCATTATGATTTTCTTCATAGGAAAATTTAGAAAACAACTCCACTGTTCAATCATGAAGAACAGGTTAAAAAAAATTATGGTATTGACATATAACAAAATATTATGCTAAAAGTGATGAGGAGATAGATAGCTAAATATAGAAATATATTACTCAGTAAGAAAAATGGGTTAGAAAACATTACCCATATGATTTCACTTTTGTTAAAAAGCATGTAAAAGAATGAGACATCCAAACATTATGTGCCTTCTGATGGATAAACACTCCACCTTTGATAAAGTAGTCTCAAAAATAACCCAAGACTACTATCTAATCAAACCTCTAGATCCAACTATAATATACAGAAAATAAAGAGGAAAGAGGAATATTTTTAAACAATACCATGAAAAAAGCAAAGAGAAAAATTAAGCAAAACTAAATGACAATACAGTTTCTTCTACACTTAAATTGTAAGGGGGTTTGGTTGATACTCAGGTGTAGGACGAATGTATGTATGTATGTATGTATACTGTGTGTGAGCCCCAGGATGGACAGAATCTGGGGGGGGGGGGGGGGGGGGGGGGAAGAGAGTGAGCAAGAGTGAGAGCAACACACACAGAAGGGGAGAGAGGGAGATAAAGAGAGAGCAATCGGTATATTTAAAAATAGGGAAGACGTATCAATCAATTGCAAATATGGGCTTCATTTGGATCCTGATTCATAATGAAAATTGTAAAAACAAAACATTTATGAGACAACTGAAAATGTGAACATTGCCTGGATGGATATCTGACATAAGGAATTTGGTTTTTAGTTTTTAAAAAGAATCTTTATTGTTAGAGGTACATTCTGAAACATGTCTGGGATTTGTTTCAACATAACACAGGGTTAAATTGGCCGGGGTATAGATGAAACAAGACTGGTTGTGCATTAATAACTGTTGGAGCTGGGTGATTGGTATTATGGAAGTTCATTACATGGTTCCAGCTACTCTTAATATATGTTTAAATTTTTTCTACATGGAAAGATTTTTAATGTTTATACATATAAATCTTTATGGAAAGATATATACAAATGACCTTTAGATGGTAGACTTCATGGGGAATTTAAATTTAAATTTTTTTTATTCATCTGTATTCTCTATTTTTTTTCTATAATGAACATGTTTTTATTGCATATTTAAAAAAGAAAGTGAAGCCCTAGCTCAGTGATGGCGAATCTATGACACGCGTGTTAGAGGTGACACGCAAACTCGTTTTTTTGGTTGATTTTTCTTTGTTAAATGGCATTTAAATATATAAAATGAATATCAAAAATATAAATCTTTGTTTTACTTTGGTTGCAAATATCAAAAAATTTCTATATGTGACACGTCACCAGAGTTAAGTTAGGGTTTTTCAAAATGCTGACACGCCGAGCTCAAAAGGTTCGCCGTCACTGTCCTACCTGGTTTGGCTCAGTGGATAGAGTGTCGGCCAAAGAGTCAATTCCAGTCAAAGGTTTGAGTCAGTTGCAGGTTCCTCCCTGGCCCAGGCCCTGGCCAGGGCATGTGCAGGAGGCAACCAATTGATGTGTTTCTCTCACATCTATATTTTTCTCTGCCTTTCCCTATCTCTTCCACTTTCTCTAAAATCAATGGAAAAATATCCTCAAGTGAGGATTTAAAATAGAAAGTGAAAAATAGCCCTAGACAGTTTGGCTCAGTGGATAGAGCGTCGGCCTGCGGACTGAAGGGTCCCGGGTTTGATTCTGGTCAAGGGTACATGCCTGGGATGCAGGCTCAATCCCTAGTAGGGGGTGTGTAGGAGGCAGCCGATTAATGATTCTCTCTCATCATTGATGTTTCTATCTCTCTCTCCTCCCTTCCTCTCTGAAATAAATAAAAATATATTCAAAGAAACAAAAGAAAGTGAAAAATAAAAATTTTTAAAGCAAAACTCTCCAATTAATCTGATACTTTAAATAGCAAACGTGAAGACTGTTCTTACCTGATCTGTGCTTAGTGTCCATGCTCAAGTAATGGGAGCTATCAACTAATGAGGTTAGCTTAAAGAAGAGAGCCCTAACCAGTTTGGCTCAGTGGATAGAGCGTCAGCCTGCGAACTCAAGGGTCCCAGGTTCAATTCCGGTCAAGGGCATGTACCTTGGTTGCGGGCACATACCCAGTAGGGAGTGTGCAGGAGGCAGCTGATCAATGTTTCTCTCTCATCGATGTTTCTAACTCTCTATCCCTCTCCCTTCCTCTATGTAAAAAATCAATAAAATATATTTTTTTTTAAAAAGAAGAGAAAAGAATCTCTTAAATGCTTCTCCCTATATCTTCCTACTTTAGACCAGAGGATTTTATATCAGGCTAAACATAAAACTATAACCTACAAACAAATTTGTAATGACAATTCCCAAATTCACAATATGTGAGCTGACTGTAAAATATTCCTACCCACATTCTATAACAACACTGTTGAGTTGTGATTCCTTCACCTCCCCCCACAAACACACACACACACTTTAGACCTCTGTTCTAATAACATTATAAAAAATGCTCTATTAAAAATAAAGAAGACAACTGTGTCTTACCGGTGGTAAAGAATGTCGCCCACATTCAATTGTGACAAGTTTGTGGCACTTCTTATGAACCAAGAGTTTGCAGTTGATGCATTTATATCCCTGGCGTCCAAGTCCCCATATCCGGTCAGTACAGATGGCACAGTGGGCACGCTGGAAAGAGTAATTCAAAAGAATTCAGTGAAACAGCAAAAAAAAAGTCATAATCATTCCCCAACAGTTTGTTCATAAAATAGTGAAAATAAGTGGCTTTCTTCTCTAATTCAGTTCTCTTCATCATACATAACTTTTTCAAAGCTATGATGGTCTGGGAAAAATAAACAGAAAACAGAGTTTGTTTTAAAGAGACAGTGAGTCCTGGCCCATGTGGCTCAATTGGTTGGGTGTTGTCCCATGCACTGAAGGGTTGCCTTTTTGATTCCAGGTGAGGGCACATGCCTGGGCTACGGGCTTGCTCCCCAGTAGGGGGCATGCAAGAGACAGCAGATGGATGTTTCATTCTCACATCAATGTTTCTCTCTCTCCCTTCCTCTTTCTCTAAAAATTAATTTAAAAAACTGTTTAAAGAGAGAGTGAAATTTGCAACATGTTGTTTTCTGTTATAAGTCCAAGACTTTTCAGTCTTCATATAATTAGGTTTAGATTTATAAAAATAGGAAAAGTGAGTAAACTTGGAAAACATACGGCAGAAAATACGGTACAAGGACGCTCAATCAAAAATAAACCTTCCAGACTGTTCAGAGGTCAAACAAAGCCCTGCTCTCTTAAAGAGCAATACCTAAAGTGACTTTTCATTTTATAGCTTTTTTGTTGTTGTTAATATGTTTTTATTGATTTTAGAGAGAGAGGAAGGGAGAGGGAGAAAAAGAGAGAGGAACATCAATCAGCTTTCTCCCGTACATACCCCAACACACAACCTGGGCACGTGCCCTGACCAGGATCAAACCAACGACCTTTTGGTGCATAGGGCTAAAGCTCAACCAACTGAGTCAGATCAGCCAGGGTCAAAGCTTTTTAATTACCAGTGGTACCTTGGGTGGTGACTTCTATTTACATTAATGAATTCGGAACATGGCACCAGTTTTAAAATGCAAACGGGAGTCCATTGTTTTATAGTTATCAAGAATAGTTAAAAATGTGAACTTCTGGAGATAAAATGTTTTCAAACCCTGGCTCTGCAACTTACTAGCTTTCTCATCTTGGGCAAGTTATTTAAATGGCCCACCCCTCAGTTTCTTCATCTATAAAATGGAAATATATAGTACCTATCTCACAAGATTGTGGTAAGGATTAAATGAATTAGTATATGTCAAGCATTTGGAAAAGTGCCTGAAACATAGTAAAAGCTAGAGAAGTGTTTGCAATTATTATGTTCTAAACAGTGAAAATTAAAATTACAATATTACATGATTTGCAAAATAAAACTTGTTTATTTTATGAGTATCTGGAGTTATATTTAAAAATACAACATTCTGGATAAGGACACATATGTAATACCTTAATCAATAAAGAAAAAAAAATTTAAAAAATACAACATTCTTATAGCTACGGTAACCATATAATTAATCATCAAATCAGGAACATTTTTAAGAGTGACAGGAGATTCTATTAAAAATTACATCAAGAAAACAGGTGTACTGCATAAACTGGGAATGTTAGGCAACCTTACTCCTTTAAAGGGGAATAACAAGACTACCTTTCTTTCATAATAGAGAGGGGAAAAATAGATTTCTCAAATTATCAACATTCAACAAACTAAGGTTTACCCTGTTGAAACGCTTGGCTTGAAAAGTGTGGCCATTTGCACAATAAAGCTTTCTCCAGCGGCGTGCACCTCTGCGGTAGATGGACTCTGAAAAGAGATTGAGAGTTTAAAAAAGAGCAAGTGTGTATAAAAATCATTATTATAATTAAGTCTGTTATTTTTTTTCATGATATTGATAGCAAGAAAATAATTTATATCGATAAAATCCTGAAAATGAAAAAAATAAACTGAATTCATCAAGGGACTTGATGAAAATATAGCCCATGGAATATAAATGTTTCAGTAACTATTATTACTTTTCTGTTTTTGCAATAAACACCTGCATCCTTCACCAAGATTTACCAATTACTAACATTTTATTTTGACACAGTATATGTACTACCTAAGCAAGCACTTGCTTTCCTCTCTACACATACACTTCCTCCTGAATCACTTCAAGGTAAGTTGCAGATATCCTTAAACACTTCACCCTTAAACTCCCATTGCCTAAGATTAAGGACATTCCCCCTAATCCCACTTAAGCACAATACCATTACCATGTCTTAGAAAATTAGCATTAATTTAATATTACCTAATATGAAGTTCAGATGCAAATTTCTCTATTTGCCCTCAATGTGTCATTCATAGCTTCCTTTTTCTCTTCAGGATCTAATCAAGATTCAGGCACTGCATCTGGATTGTCACTGTTTAGAAAATGATAATTGCAAGGATGCTATACCTTTTTTGTCTCCTTCATGTATGCTAAAACACTCAACGTTGTTGTTTGTTTTCCATAAGGTTGAGGATTTTTTTTGTTTTTTAAGTCTAGGCAGTTGTCTTAGGTTCTACATTCTGGATTTATCTGTCTCCTCATTAGAGTCAGTAATAAATATTTTGCCAAAAATAATACACTGGTGACACATCAAGAAATACACAAATGTCAAATTGTTGGCTCTCACTACTGGTGCTCACTCTGTTGAAGGCAGTGATTGCTAGTTCTCTTTATTGTAAAGGTACATTCTCCTTTTTGTAAGTCGTCTTACAAATATCTAAGTGACATTTTGTAACCACAAGAATATTCTCCTCCCCAACAACCTTTCATCCAATTGTCTTTAAATTAATGCTTTTCCTAAACAAAGAACTACCACAAAATCATTCTAGACTACCTGTGAAATTCTGGTTTTAAGTCAATCACTATTATATATATATTGTCTATTAGTCATTAAGAAATATTCCATAATAATAGTTAATACTGTGGAAAGATTCCATTAGGTTTCTAAACTCATTTTAAAGCAAATGTAGCACTGGATTTACTATTTAAAATTTAAATAGAAAAGACCAATTGAAATGCTCTGAATTAGAAATCTTGAGATAGTGTAATATGTAACCTTAAATATAGATGTTTTATTTTTACTTAAATATATTTTTATTGATTTCAGAGAGGAAGAAAGAGGGAGATAGAAATATGAACATCAATGATGAGAGAGAATCACTGATAGGCTGCCTCCTGCACGTCCCACATTGGGATCAAGTCTGCAACCAGGCATGTGCCCTGGCAGGGAATCGAACCGTGACCTCCTGGTTCATAGGTTGCCACTCAACTACTGAGCCACGCCTAGATGTTTTATTTTTAATTATTTATTCTGTTAGGAGTAACCAAGCTGAAAGAACATTCTATTTCAGCTTTCATGAACTACATCTTGATATTTCTTAAATTTAAACATGTTAATGTTGGCTAGAAATTAAGAGCCAAGAGACCAACCACATTAATGGTTATCAATTTCCCCCCTGCTCTAGTTTGTTAATATTTATTATACTGTAGAAGGGGTAGTGTCAAAATCTCCACCAGCAAATTTTAAAGCGGGAAAGTGAGCATGAAATATAGTGAAAAAGTTAGGAAATATTTTATCTGTATGCTGCAGACCCATAATACAATGGCAGATGGAACTCTAGAACCAAGATCTGCCACATGGCAAGTCTTTTAAAACCCGGGCTTGGCCAGAGAGAACGGCCACTTGCTCTGTGAAGGCAGCCTACACCGGCTTTAATCCACCTGCCCCTGGAAGTCCAGAGAACTATTCCTAGCTGAATCCAAACCTACATTTTTCACTACTGCTCAGAGTTCTATCTATTTCTTATAGTTCAACACTTTCCTACATAGTACATGGCTCCATTTAACTTTATATACGAACACCCATAGTTCTTTAATTTTTTTCTTCTTTCCAAGTTGCATGGAGAGTCATAGAATTAAAAGTTAGAACTACAACCCTGGCCTGTGTGACCCAGTGGTTGGAGTGTTGTCCTGTACACCAAAAGGTGGCAGGTTCAATTCCCATTCAGGGTACCAGATTGTGGGTTCAATCCCCAATTGGGGTGCAAGTGGGAAGCAACAGATCAATTTTTCTCTCTCACATTGCTATTACTCTCTCTCCCTCTCACTTCTCCCCCTCCCTCTCTCTACAAAAAATAAAAATCAATTTAAAAAATTTAAAATTTTTTTTAAAGTTAGAACTACTTCATTTAATTAAAAACAAAATATTTACCACAATTCCTTCTGAAGTCATGGATATGTGTAGAAACCACAAATGAAAATGAGTTGCCTGATACCCACAACTAATAAATTATACCATATAGCAAAAGCAATAAATTATGCTCATATATGGTTTGCATATTCAAATTACATCAGGACAAATAGCTGTTTGACTCTTTCAATTCATTCATTAATAGCAATCACTAGCTTAGACATTCAAAAGAAAATCCTGTAATACCTCCTAAGGATGCATGCTGAGGTGTTTAGAGGTGAAGTGTTATGGCCGTTACTTACTCTCAAATGGTACAGCAAATATAAGTAAAAATAAAACAAGTGTTTCCTATGTATATACATGTATGCAAATGTGTGCACACATACAGACATAGAGGTAGAGCAAACACAGATAATGTTAAAAACTGGTGAATATAGGCAAAGGATATATGGGTACCTTTGTTTTCAATGTTGTTTCAACTTCTCCATAAGTTTGAAATTTTCCAAAATTAAAAACCCAGAAGAAATATGATTTAACTTTCCTTTCAAATGCAGAATAGATAAATATGTCAATAAGTTATAACTAAGAACTGCCTTATTTTGATCTGGCAAAGTAGAATTTAGGCAGTTCCTAATATACTCTAAATTAGACTAAAGAATGGAAAAGAAACCAAAGGAATTAAAAGTTCTATTTCTGATTTCCTCTCACTTGTGCCACGGTGTCATAAAAAACCTTATTCAATGGTATGAAGTATATAAACACTCACTGTCTTCTCCTGGACAGGGCATTCCAGGACGTTCTGGTACACAAGGAAATACTGGAAAAAATAATACAACAAATTTAAAACATACAAATTACATAGAATTTTAAATTCAGATATCAAAAAAATCGCCCCAAATTTCAACCTAACCCTCTCTTGACGGATACTTAGCATATAGTCAGCATTATTTGTTTAAAGAGATCTACTTTACCAAGGGTATTTAAAAAACAGTTTCAATGAAAGTGACCATCCATAAATAATACATTAGAAGCTCAAATTATTCATTCCAGTCCTTGTTACATCATTGATTTTTTTTTTTTTGGCTTTAGCTAAATCATTAACTACTATTCCTTTTCAGTGGTTCTTAACCTTCCTAATGCCGCGACCCTTTAATACAGTTCCTCATGTTGTGGTGACCCCCAACCATAAAATTATTTTCATTGCTACTTCATAACTGTAATTTTGCTACTGTTATGAATCGTAATGTATTTTCAGGGGTCGCGACCCACAGGTTGAGAACCGCTGCTTTAAATCCTTGTAGTGACAAGTTTACTACAATGAAGAATTAAATTATAAAATGTATATAAATATGAACATACACCATTATAGTTTTTAAAAGATGTATACTAAACTTAGGAATAAATTAACACCAGAAACAGTACCCAAATTCAAAAATGTAAGTTTTATGTTAGAAACCATGTATTTACAAACAAGCTAACTCAGATCATTTTTTATAGAGATAAATTATAAGAAATATTACATGAACATTTAATCAACTATTTGTGGTCTGTGATGTACAAAAGAATCCTATATAATAAAAGCCTAATATGCTAAGTGTCAGGTCGTCCGTTCAACCAATCAAAGCATAATATGCTAATGACATGCTAAGGACACTCAACTGCTCGCTATGACATGCACTGACCACCAGGAGGCAGATAGTCGACCGGTTGACCAGTAACTATGACAAGCACTGAGCATCAGGGGGCAGACAGTTGACTGGTCGATCAGTCGCTATGATGTGCACTGACCACCAGGGGGCAGACGCTCTGACTGGTAGGTTAGCTTGCTGCTGGGGTCTGGCCAATCGGGACTGAGCGAGATGGGCCGGACATGCCCTGAAGCCCTCCTGTGTCCCTCCCCAGCCCCGATCGTGCACCAGTGGGGTCTCTCAGCCTAGGTTGCACCCTCTTGCAATCCAGGACCCCTCAGGGGGGCACATTGACTGTCAGGTAGTTCCATCTATATAATCCTATCTAATAAAAGACAAAAAAGGGTAATTAACCATACCTCTGCTACGCTTCCCATTGGCTAATCAGGGCGATATGCAAATTAACTGCCAACAAAGATGGC